TGTGTGTGTGTGTGTGTGTGTGTGTGTGTGTGTGTGTGTGTGTGTGTGTGTGTGTGTGTGCTTCACCCCTATCCCTATTGGCGGAACCTACGACCGTTAAGGCAGGTAACTGGTACCTGCCTTTATTAGGTCAGATACCATCCAACTACCATAACAGCCTTGCAGGTCGGGGCTGGAATGTAAAATACAACACCAACACAAACACTTGCCACCTCACACATGACAATCAATTTATTTGGGAAAGATAGAACGTACCTTGAGTTTGATCCAAGTAGCGGTAGGTTCAGCTCTAGCTGGCATATACAACGATGGGGAGTCAATGACTCTAAATATACATCTGAGGCATTTCCTAAGAAGAAATTCATTAGCAACCATTCCCTTGAGCAGTATCAGTAATTCCATTGCAGCAGTATCTGGGGAAGTGCAGAGAAGTAAAACCAGCACCGTTCGACCAATCATGATGTTTACTGATTGTTGGATATGCCTGTTCGATTCGAACCTCACGTACTTACATATTGGGAAGCTCAGGGTCTTGCTCTTGTCAAACTTCGCAGTTGTGAACTCACCAGTTATTTATGAGTTTATTGAAATCTCAGAATTAAGAAACTGAGCCTTGAATCCATATGCTTCCCCAGAGTCATGTTTTACAAATACCTAAGTCTGATTCTTTATATCAATCAAATGCATAGGGTATATGTGGAAAATATTAGAATCCACCCTGGGCTGGTTGGGATCCAGAAATTTGAGAATTAGAGGATTATTAATACTATGCAGATCATCAATATATCTATATATATTTTTAAATAATGGGAGAGCTCCATATTCTCTGTTGCGAATAATGCGCATGATGAATTGATACTCATACCGAAAAAAAATATAGATTACAAAGAGAAGGAGAGCACCGTAATCCGATAGGAATTCCTTTAATCTGTCTCCAAATTACCCCTCCTAGGGACGTGTAACATCTTGCAAGGGTCCATTCAACTAGCCAGATTATATTATCCTTTGTAAGAAAAAATATTGTCCGACTGCTCTCACGCACGCCCTTTGTCATTGAACATTGAAATTGTTCATTCTTTAGCAACCTGCGTTTCATCACCGATCCAATCCCTCTGATTGCCGCCGTCTTCCATGCTATATCCGTAAAAAACCTGAATGCAGATGGAAGGTCATCATTATCATAGTCAATAGGGATAGTTTCAAAACATCTCGTAATGTACCCTGAAAAGACAGTGAAAACCTTCTCCGGAAGATTATAACAATAATCATGGACTGAATCAATTGTCCACCACACCGTTGTTTCTATTCCATGAAATGCACGTAGGCCATCAGTGACCTCCTTACAATGCGTAAGGAGTTATGAATGGTCTTCTGAAACATGTGCAAGCTGATAGTTAATGCACGTCGTGGGGATAAGAATTTAATTACAATTTTTGTTCTTTCTCTGTTATGTGCCTTGTATCGGGATCGTATACCACAAAAGATGCTGATGATTTTTCTGTTAAGCTTCAATCGCATCAAACAAAGTTGTACGGCCCGCCATGCCTGTTCCCATGGGGGTTTTGTATCAATGCTACACACTCACAGGGCATTCGTGCCCGCCCGTTTGCCAGCACGGAGGTTGACTCCCCCTGCCGGGTCTTATACGGTTGTTTGATGATGTAAGCTTTTATATATTTCATTCGGCCCTAGATTGGTGGAATCCTGAGAGGTTATTGGAGAATGGATGGTTGGGTGGATATCCTACTTGAAACTTGTGCTCACTATTCCCTATTGTTTGCCATGTGACAGAGGCCCACCTTCTCGCCGAATGGATGGTACTCTGAGCTTGTTCAGGGGGAGTGTGTATGAATGGAGCAGTTTGACCCACCGTTGCGCCCTGCTCAAGCACTGATATTGCTAGCTCATTTAAACGTCATCGAATTCGTCAAGATGAATTCACTTGACGTCCCTCCCCCACAACCCCCTCTTATCTCGGTGCTTCCTTTAACGATTGGGCTGACATGATCTGGACTGCCACGCGTGATAAGGAATCTTTTCCATATATGTCCAGAAAGTATGTCTTAGGTGCTAAGGATATGGCAGAGGAGGACCTATTGGTTGAGACATCAATCGGGGATGAAATATTGATGAAGGAAAAAAGTTTTGTGGAGTTATGGAACGCAGTGTCCGAATTCCACGCGGATCTTATCCCCCCCATTTCACAGGTAGGCTGTGGATCAGAACCTGACACTCACGAGGATGATGACCTTCCCCTCACGGAGGAGGAAAGGGCTTTTCACGCTAAGTTTGTAGCAGAGTCTAGTGCTCAGATGACGATTGGGTTAGCAAAAGAGAAAATGAAGGATGTTAACAAGTTCACTCGAAATGCCTTTCTCCCAATCGCCCCTCCTAGGTGGATTGAATCAAAGGTGAAGGAGAAGAAGGATAAGATTTGGGAGTTTGAGACATTCAATCATTCGGTTCCCATCGGGGTGAATGCGTATAAGCTATTAGCATCATTGTCTGAGGAGGAGGTGAATCTCTGTCAGGAACGTGCGCTCAATGAAAACACTGAGATAATCAAGGGGCCTTACCCTTGGACTGCAGACGCCATGATGCTTCCGAAGGTCGGACAGTTTGATCCTCTCAAGTGCAATGCTTCATCCACGACCCTAGCCGTAAGGGGTTTCTATCCTCCCAAGGGGCAAACTGCGTTAGCAGAGCTCAAGAGGATTTGGAACGCGGGAAGACCCTACTTGAAGTGTCGATGTGTGGAGTTGGAAAAAGGTGACTGCAAAACTAACATCACATGGTTCGATCAGGTACTGTGGTACCTGCTTGCTAATCCGGATCTGTTATTTCCTGAAGCTCCAACGCTCCATGCCAGGGTCAGGGCGATGAAAAGCTTATTGAGGAAGACTTGGCGAACACCTGTCTTGGCCAGCGTGGTTTTCTTTTTCATGAGGGAAATCATGGTCAAAATGGCGCATGCAGTGGTGCACAACCCGACAGTGAGACAGGAGAAGATTTTGGATGATGAAGTCCTCATGTTGAGGAAATTCCCTCGTAAGATGGCTGCGTTAATCTTACCTGACAAGTACCTCAACAACCTGTCAAAACGCAGGAGGCCAACGATGCGTGATGCGTGACCAGCAAAACGGCCAAAGAATACAATCCTCTCGTACTATGTAAGGCCTCAACATGGCCAGCCAGCCTCAATTGATGAATTGTTGAATTTGGGACTGGAAAAGCAGACCATTGCTTCAACTCCGCCAGAATCAGCTCTCTCGTTTCAGAGTGACAATGTTAATTATACCACCAGCAAGCAGCCATCCAGGGGTGGCAAGTTTGGGACAGCATCTAGGTCCCTGTTTCACGCATGAGTAATCAGTAGGACTAACTAACTATCACTAATCTATCTGTATATAGCTGGTTGTCTCACGTCATGAATAATTGTGTGATATGCAGGCATTGGCGGACGAGGGAGGCAGAATGATTAGTGACGAGGCTGAAAGGAATAAGTGGTCCAGCTCTCCGTCTCAGAGTGCTGAGTTTTACATCCACACCAAGTACGAGAACAGGGCAATGGAGGTTGTCCGGTTCAGATCCATCGTCGAAAGAGCTTTTGAGAATTTTTTTCCACCGGCTGCCATTATCCTCTTGGCCACAATAGTTTTTGGCTGGACTTACCATGAGTCATTGGACTCTCTTCTGTACAGGCCATCTTTTGTATTCAGAGATTTCGTCTTGGATGAATGACTCAATTTCTGTGTAGATAATGTTTGTTGCCCGTGTGTGAGGATCATGTTTTGCCGATTCCATGCTTGTGAAGCTGAGAATATGGCTCAGCCCTTCTCTATGACTTCCCAGCATGTACTCTCAATGGATACCTCTATCTCGCAAAACAGAAAGCTTGCTGAGTTACTGTCCATGGGTCTTAACCACATCCCTCCTCGCCCACGCTCTGCTGTACATGCTGTTCAGTCATTTCTGAATTCTTGGGATTGCATTGTCGAACATTTGCTGAATAGAATGTTTATTCCACTGTCGGCGGTGAGATTGGCAACGACATTTGTCAGAAAGCACCTCACCCAGCAAATTGCCAGCCTTGGCCTCAGAGGGCATTCCTATTGGATGATAGTCCAGTGAGAGCCGAAATTAAATTTCTGACGAAAAATCTACTCATAGTAGGAACTGATAAAGCTGCCAACACCCCCTCTTTTTGCTGCATTCACCTAATAAGGAAGCTAACATGAGAAAGATTGTCAGGGGGGGTCTTCTTAAGAACCAGTCTCAGTAAGACGGAAGTTCTGGAGGAGGCCAAGGAATCTTTGATGAAGATCTCACCGTTCATTACCCTTGGCCCCGAAAAAATTCCATACATAATGGGCTTATACAAGCACCACAAAAAAACCTTCAGGTGAATGATCAGGCCAGAGTAGCTTCAGGCAATCCAAAAAAAGCGGGGGGGGTGAGGAGGAGAGGGGGAGAACGTTAGGGAGAGAGGAAGAGAGAGAGACGGGGAACGAGAGGGATAGAGAGAGAGGGAGAGGGAGGGGGCGAGAGCGAGAGATAAGTCGATAAGTCTTAGGAAGATTTTTAGAGTAGGTGTAGAGTAAGAGGAATTATAGCTGCGACTGTGTGCTTAAGTATATCATCCGAAGATCCTTAGACTAGCACTCTTAAAGGGTCACTCAAACCTTCACAAAAAGGAGCATCGAGTTATTTCCGAGAGAAAGGGTGGAGGCTTCAAAACATTTCACCTATGAGAGGAAGAAAAAATGTGAGAGACAAAAAAGTTTCGGTCTTATTGTCTCAAATTAAAATTCGGAGCCCTGAAAAACAGGAGTATGTACTAGCATGCATCAATCCGTTGCTTGATGACCTCAATAACTATCTCGTTACCCTTATTTACTCACAAAAAATAAGGAGAAGCAAAAGTATCCAGGCATGATCCGTTTTTAGGAGATGTATACATCCACCCCGGTATTGAGATCTACGCGCTACCTGGAAGTACACTAAAATGCGACCTCGGAGTAAATGCACCGATCCGAACGAGCACAAATAGTATGTACTAGCATGCATCAATCCTTTGCTTAATGACCTCAATGACTATCTTGTTACTCTCATTCACTCACGAAATAAGGAGAAGCAAAAGCATCCAGGCATGATCCGGTTTTTAGGAGATGTATACACCCACCCCGGTATTGAGATTTACTTACTACTTGGAAGTACACTAAGATGCGACCTCAGAGTAAATGCACCGATCCAAATGAGCACAAATAGGCAATCGTATGTGCAGGATTAAGTGAAGACCCAGGTTGCACCATAAAGGATGGACGGGACTACAGTTTTCATCGAGAAAATTCAGATGAAGAGTAGTATGCTGAATCACAGAAACATAGTCGATGCGCTTGCGTATTGCTGATGTCAAAAAGGGCTATGATTACCGCTAAGAAAGAAAACTAAGATACCAGCATGGCCAATTTCATGGTACTAATACCGATGTATCCACGGGGGTTCCCCCGACAAATCTCCCCTTCGCCTCCATCCCCTTTTGCCAGCAACAGCATGACTAACAGGAGGGATGTCAAGATGACGAATAAGATCACTATTAGCCATGATAATCCACGCCTAGTCCGAAGTACTGAACAAACCATATCTACGCTAGGCACCTTCCTCTATTCATAGTATTACACGAGCAGTTAGACTAGATGATAAGTTGACAACAGTACGCTTTGAAACGAGTGTCCTCCAACTGCGAGATGAAGGCCAAGTACCCAAATAGTATCGAGCACCCCACAACAATGCCGATAACGAAAATGGTCGATTCTATTAATCAGCAGCTTCTCAGTTTAATCCCGTCGCAGCAACAAGTTCCTATTTAAACAAACAGCATGCAAACAACAAAAAATATAATTTCACATCGAGAAACGTAGTTAGGTAGTATCACGGACTCTTATTTGGAAAAGGGGTTGGGATGGGGGGGAGAGAGAGAGGAGGATAAGAAGAAGAAAATCCCAATTCGACCAAGCAGCTCTCAATTGCTGGTGTAACAGTAGGGTGTAGTGAGGAATCCCAAAGGCCTTTTCACCAGTCCCCACAACAGTTGGCTCATCAGGGGAAGAAATACCCTTAGTTTACACTCCGAGGGGAATTAAAAACACAGGAGTTTTCTCCA